CTGCCGCTATAAGAACGGCGGCTTCCGCTGCTGGTCCTGTTGCTGCTGCACTCGTGTACGCGCTGCAGCAAGAGAGTGCAGCTGCAGCAGCAAAAGCAGCAGCAACACTTACCGAAGCAGCAGCAGCAGCAAACCAACCGACCCAGTGGGTTCATATGGACCTCGCTGATGCAGCAGCAGCAGCAGCAGAAGCTGCTGCTGCTGCAATGCCTGCAGAGTATGACGGCGCTGCTGCACTGCAGCGCCTCTATCCAGAAGCTCTTGCAGCAACAGAAGCAGCAGCAACCGCAACAACTGCCCCTCCACCAACCGCAGCAGCAGCGCCAGCTGCAGCAACCCAACCGGTTTCGAAAGCAGCAACAGCAGCAGCCGCAGGAACAGCAGCAGCAGCAGCAGCAGCAGCAGAGCCCTTAAAGGCTTCAGCCCTCCCCACCGGTCGCTTGTCTCGTGCGCTGCACTTTGGGGCGTTGCTGCTGCGGCTAGCAGCAAGAACCACGTGGAGATATCTGCTGAAGGCACTCCGAATCAGCAGCAGCAGCAGCAGCAGCAGCGCTGGGGCAGCCACAGCACCCACTGCTGCGGCAGCTACTGCTGCTGCTGCTGCTGAGTACGATCACGAGCTTTCGCCCGCGGCGGCAGAAGCAGCCCGCCTTCTGAGCTCCCTGGAGCAGCAGCAGCAGCAGCAGCGGCAGCTGCAACAGCTACAAACGCAGCAGGCACTGCAGCAGCAGCAGCAGTCGTCGCAGCAGCAGCAGCAGCAGCAGCAGCATTTGCTTGACGGGGTGACGGCGCAGATCCTAACAGATAAAATCTGTCGCATGCGGGGCGCTGCACTTAAATGTTTGCAGATGCTGAGGTACGCAGCACACGCTGCTGCTGTGGCTGCTGCTGTTGTTGCTTCTGCTGCTGTTGCTGTTGCTACTGGTGCCGCTCTTACTGCTGCTGCTGCTGCTGTCTTTGGGTGTACGTGCAGCATGGCTGGAGATTTGCTGCCTCCTCCTCTTATCAATGCGCTGCAGCGCTCGCGGTGAGTATTTATTGGGGGTGTAGTAGCAGCAGCAGCAGCAGCTGCTGCTGCAGCAATTCATCTGCAGCCGCGGTTGACTGCACCTGTATATCCGCTGGCGGCGTTTCTGCTGCTTCTGTTGCAGTGGGTGCTGCAGCTGCTGCAGCATCATTTGCTGCTGCAGAGATGTGCTCCTTATTGCGTTCAGCAGCAGCAGCAGCTTGGCTCTTGGTGTTGCTGTTCTGTTGCTGCTGCTGTAGCTGTTGCTGCCGCTGTAGCGGCGCTCGTCGTAGCTGCTGCTGGCTGCATGGGCTTCTGTTCTTGCTGCCTCTGTTGCTGCTGCTGCTGTTTCTCAGGGAGACTGCCGATGCTATGCCTGCTGCGCAGACCGAGAAGGTGCGTTGCAGCAGCAGCAAAAGCAGCGGCAAAAGCAGCAGCAAAAGCACCTGCAACAGCAGCAGCAGCAGCAGCAGCGGCAGCAGCAGCAGCCGCAGCAACAGCAACAGCAGAAAGATGAAGTGAATAGCGGACACGAATCCCAGCTGCTCTTTTTGGTTTTTGCTTACGGCGTTTGGTGCTGTTCCTGCTGCTGCTGTTGCTGCTGCTGTTGCTGCTGCTGCTGCTGCTGTTGCTGCTGCAGGTGCTGCGGCGCGAATTGGGGGCAGACTGGCGGCGGCACTTCAGCGAATTTAATTTGCAGCCGTTTGCTGCTGCCAGCATTGGGCAGGTACGTTGCTGCTGCTGCAGCAGTAGCATCATAAGTGCTGCGGCAAGCACCTTGCTGCTGCTGCTGCTGCTACAGCAGCAGCGAGGTGCTGTATAGGGCTGCTGTTGCTGCTGCTGGCGCGAACCGCTGCCGCTGCTTCTACGTTGAGATGCTGCTGCTGCTGCCGTTGCATTAGCCGCTGCTGCTGTTGCACGTAACTGCTTGTGCTGCTGCTGCTGCTGCTGCTGCTTAGGTTCACAAGGCTGTGCTGCGCAATGGAGATAAGGTTGCAGTTAAGCTGCAATACCCGGGTCAGTTTATAATTAATTTTAATTTTATTGTGGTGTCTGCTGCTGCTGCATCTTTGTATGTCTCTTCATATCTTATTATATCGTTTAACCTCTCTTTGTCTTTTATTATATATTTCTGTCTCTCTTTGTCTTTGATTATATATTTTTGTCTCTCTTTGTCTCTGATTATATTTGTTTGTCTTTGCTTGTTTTGTTTTGTTTGTTTTGTGTCTGGTGTCTGTCTCTGTTGTTTTTGTTTGCTTCGTTTGTCTCTGTTGTCTCCTCCTGTCTGCTGCAGCTATTTTGCTGCTGCCGGTTCAGTTGAGTATCTTGCAGGGGCAGCTGGTGCAAATGCTGCTGCTGCTGCTGCTGCTGCTGCTGCTGCTGCTGCTGCTGCTATTTCAGGTATAGCTACGTCTATCCGATCTGATGTGGGGAGTTTGCTGCTGCTGCTGCGGCTGTTTGGTGGTGTGTCTCCTTCTCTATTTCTGGATCAGCTAGCAGCAGCAGCAGAGAAGGAGCTGCTAGCAGAGTGCAGCTATTTAAATGAATATCAGCTGCAGCAGCTCTTCATGCTGCTCGTCAAGCGAGACTTTGCTCGCAGCATTCAGGTTCCTGCTGCTTATCCTCAGCTTACCACCAAACATATCATTACTTCTCAACTCATTGAAGCGGTCTGTTGCTGCTGCTGCTGCTGCTGCCGCCGAGGCTGCTGCTGCTGCTTTGCTGTTGAGGCTGGTGTTGCTGCTGAGGCTGCTGCTGCTGTTGCTTCTGAGGCTGCTGCTGCTGTTGCTTCTGAGGCTGCTGCTGTTGCTGCGCCTGAGGCTGCTGTTGCTGCTGAGGCTGCTGTTGTAACTGGTTGGGCGTTTGTTATTCTCCCTGCTGCTGCCGGTATTTTGACTGCTTTTGGTGCTGCTGCTGCAGCTGCTGCTGTTGCTGCTGTGTTTCTTGCTGCTGCTGTTGCTGCTGTGTTTCTTGCTGCTGTTGCTGCTGCTGCTGCTGTCCCTAATAGGCATTTTTTCAGTCTTTGTTTGCTGCTGCAGACCCCGCTTGCTGTGGCGGCACAGACTGCTTCTCAAGTGAGACGCAGCAGCAGCAACAGCAGCAGCACAACAGCAGCAGCACAACAGCAGCAGCAGCAGCAGCAGCAGCAGCACCAGCAGCAGCAGCAGCAAGAGGAGCAGCAGCAGCAGTGAATATGCGTACAAGAAGGCTGTTTTTGGATTGCTGCTCTGCTGCAGGAAGAAAGAAATAGGATTGGGGAGCTGCTGCTGCGGCTGGTCCTGAGAGAAATATTCATATACCGCCTCATGAATACCGTGAGGCTTAGGGTTTAGGGTTTAGGGTTTAGGGTTTAGGGTTTGATACCACAAGAACACGAGCGGCGATAGTCCAGCCGATAAGTAGGGATTTAGAAAAGGGTTTAGAGTGTTGGACTACGAGGCAACATTCTAGGGTTTTGGGTGTAGGGTTTAGGGTTTAGGGTTTAGGGTTTAGGGTTTAGGGTTTAGGGTTTGCAGGACGCGAACCCTGCGAATTTTCTTTGGGATGGCGATGCGCGTTGTCTTTGGCTGTTGGATTTTGGCGCGGGTATTTAAAAACCCTAAAAAGAATAAACCCTCGAGCTGCCTATACACCCCAAACCCTCATGCATGCATGCATGCATGCATGCATGCGTGCATGAACCAGGGAGCGGCCTATACACCCCAAATCGTCGCGCATGCATGCACTTTGTGGGGTGTATTTTGATGGTTTTGTTTTTAGGGCGTTCGTTTTCCGTGGAGTTTGTCGATGCCTACAGACGGCTGCTGCTGGCGGTTATTGCTGAGGTGAGAGCAGCAGTAGCAGCAGCAGCAGCAGCAGCAGAAGCAGAAGCAGCAGGAACATCTTTTTTGCGTGCAACATCTGCATTCATTGCGCGCTGCATGCACGCGGGTTTTGCTGCTGGATGTATTGGTGGCTCGGCATGTAGCTGCTTCTGTTGCTGCTGTTGCTGCTGCTGCTGCTGCTGCAGGACCGCCGAATGGTGGAGGCATATGCAACAGAATTAGGGTTTATAGGAGCTGGCGATACACCTGAATTTATTGAGGCGCAGTGCTCTGTCTTTGAGCTAATCGGACAGCCATTCAAAATACCCGTAAACTTCCTGCTGCTGCTGTTGCTGCTGCTGTTGCTGCTGCTATTGCTGCTGGTGCTGTTGTAGGTGCTGCTGCTGTTGTTGCTGCGGCTGGTGTTGCTGGTGCTGCTATTGCTGCTGCTGCTGTTGTTGCTACTGTTGTTTATGGCGCTGCTTCTGCTAGTGTTGCTGCAGTTGCGGGTGTCTTTGCTGCTGCTGCTGCTGCTGCTATTACTTTTCTGTATGTTGCATGTTTTGCTGTGTGGGGTTTATGCTGAGGTGTACGTACAGCTGAATGCATTATTTTACCTTATTGTCTGTTATTATGATTATGTTTATTATTTTTTATAGTATGAGATTTTGTTTGTGCTTGTAGGAAGGAAGCAGCAAAACGCATGCAGTAGATTTTGGGGCTTGGCCTCTGCTGCAGCAGCTGCAGCAGCAAATGAAGCAAACAGTGCAGCAGAGAACGAGACCCCCACCTGTTGAGGTGTATTCGCTGCATCGCAAGCTTGTTGGTAGTTTCTTACTCATTCAAATGCTTAAAGCGCATGTACAAGCGCCTCAAGTATGCTGCTGCACTTGCTGCTGCTGCTGCTGCACTTGCTGCTGTTGCTGCACAGGCTGTTGCTGGTGCTGCTGCATATGCTGCTGCGGCTGCTGCTACTACTACGCATGCTGCTACTGCTGCTGCTACACATGCTACTACACATGCTGTTGCTGCTCTTGCTGCACATGTGCAGCAGCAGCATGAGTTCTGCTTCCATACAATCAATATTCAGGTGTACGTACACCCGCATATTATTATTATGTTTTACGTGTTGGGGTGTATGCATGCAGATCTTTAGAGATATCTGCTGCGAGTTGGAGAGGGGAACGAACGATCCCAGCTGCGCTTTGAACAGCAGCAGCGGCAGCAGCAACAACAACAGCAACAGCAGCAGCAGCAGCAGCAGCAGCAAGAGCCGCAGCAGCAGCAGCTGCAGCAGCAAGGGCTAACAGTTTGTTTTGTCCGCCCAATTTGATTTGTGTGTCATGGAGACACCGCAAAGCTTATTCTTCGTTTTGTTTTTATTTATTTATTTATTTATTTATTATTTATTATTTATTTATTTATTTATTGTTGAGACGAAACTCAGCAAAGGAGAACCACTGACAGCGCAATTACTCCTCGTTGGGAGGTCTAGGGTTTTCACCTCCATTTGTTTTATTCAGGGTTTAGGGTTTAGGGTTTAGGTGGTTAGGGGCTTAGATGGTTGATGGTTTAGGGTTTACGCCTTTGGCGCTTTAGGGTTTAGAGTTTAGATTGTAGAGGGGAGGGTTTAGGGTTTAGGGTTTTAGGGTTTAAGGGGTTTAGGGTTTAGGTTATTATTGAGGCGTTGCACATATACGCTGATTTAGGGTTTAGGGTTTGTGTTTGTCTCTCTGTCTCTGTCTCTCTCTCTTTGTCTCCTTTGTTATTTCTTGTCTTTGTTTGTTTGCATTGCTTTCGTCTCTTTTATTATTGCTGTTTCTTTTGTTTGTTTGTTTGAGGCGTTGCACATATACGCTGATTTAGGGTTTAGGGTTTGTGTTTGTCTCTCTGTCTCTGTCTCTCTCTCTTTGTCTCCTTTGTTATTTCTTGTCTTTGTTTGTTTGCATTGCTTTCGTCTCTTTTATTATTGCTGTTTCTTTTGTTTGTTTGTTTAATTCTTCTGTCTCCTTTAGTATCTCTGTCTGTCTCTGTTATCTTCTTGTCTTCGTCATATATATTAACCCTTACTAAACCCTAAACCCCAAATATTGTAATATTAAACCCTTGTTAGGCGCTTACTAAACCCTAAACCCTACATATTGTAATGCTAAACCCTAGACCGCAAACCCTAATGAAACCCTTACTGAACCCTCATTAAACCCTAAAACCCTAATGATTATAAAATAAACCCTAAACCCTCAACCCCAGTCGTTATATACTAAACCCTAATTAAACCCTTATTAAACCCTAGGCCTTCAAACTCAAACAAAAGGTATATGAAGGGACAGGGGTTTAAGAAGACGCTGGCTGTGCGTAGAGCGCAACCCCTAAACCCTAGGAAAGGGTTTAGAGAAGAGCCTAACCCTAAACCCTAAAAAAGGGTTTAGGGTTTACCTCTTTTTGAATTCATTTGCTGCAAGAAAATCTTCTATAGCTGTGCGCAGCGACTTCTCTGTCTCTTCGCTCAGCTGGTTCTCCCTGCACCACAAACCCTAAACCCTAAACCCTAACCCTAAACCCTAAACCCTCATCAAACCCTAAGCCCTAGTCAAACTCCAAACGCCTTAATCAACCCCTAAACCCTAATTAGAAAACCTTATAAACCCTAGTTAAGCCTCCCAAAACCCTAATCAGGCTCCTTAAACCCTACACCCGTAAACCCTAAACCCTAAACCCTCATCAAACCCTAAACCCTTGTGTACCTGGCGATGGTGTCAAGCAGGTGTTGGTGGTTTGTCTCGATATGCTTCACGAAGAGACTCTCAAACCTAAACAAACATACAAGCACAAACAAACTAATCCCTAGCTAGCTAGCTAGCTAGCTACACCCTTATATAGCTAGCCACCTAGCTACACCTTTATGTAGCTAGCCAGCTAGCTGGCTAAAGCAACAAAGTAGGAAATGAAGAAGCGAGACAAACCTAAACAAACATACAAGCACAAACAAACTAATCCCTAGCTAGCTAGCTAGCTAGCTACACCCTTATATAGCTAGCCACCTAGCTACACCTTTATGTAGCTAGCCAGCTAGCTGGCTAAAGCAACAAAGTAGGAAATGAAGAAGCGAGACAAAGAAAGAAAGACGAAAAAGAACGAAAGACAAACAAAAAAAGAGACAGACAGACACAAAACAATATCCAATCGACAAGCAGACAGCCCAGCTAGGGTTTAGGGTTTAGCACATCGATATCATCTCCTTTAGCGTCTACGAGGTTTAGGGTTTAGTGTTTATCTTTAGGGTCTAACGGGTTTAGGGTTTACCTGGATTAGGGTCTAAGTGGTTTAGGGTTTAGGGTTTAACTGAATATCTCTTTAGGGTCTAGGGGGTTTAGGGTTTAGGGTTTACCTGGAGATCGCTTTAGGGTCTAAGTGGTTTAGGGTTTAGGGTCTAGCTGGAGATCTCTTTAGGGTCTACGTGATTAGGGGTTTAGGGTTTAGAGTTTGAGTGGTTTAGGGTTTAGGGTTTAGGGTTTACCTGGAGATCTCTTTAGGGTCTAGGGGGTCAAGATATCCCTTTACACCGCAATACAAAACACAAACCTACAAGCAAAAGAAACAAAAGAAAGTAAATAAAATAATAAAATGTTTAAAGCATAAAACGAACAAAAAAACAATAAATAAACAAATCAATAAACATATAATAAAACAAACAAAACAAACAACAAACTAAACCCTAAAAAGAAGAGAAGGAACGAGAAAATAAATAAAATAAAAATAAATAAAAACAAAGAGATAAAATAAATAAATAAATAAATAAAATATATGTAAATATGGTTAATAGAGAGACACACACTGAAAGACAAAGATAAAAATATAAAGAAGTTAAAGAGAAGCATAAACAAACTGAGCAGACAGATAAGAGTAGAGAGATATACAAAATAACAAACAAAAACAGATAGAGAGACGACGAAGAGACAGATGAAGAGATAAATAAAACAACAAACAGCGGTATAAACAAACAAACGGAGACAGACAAACAAAACAAACAAAACAAACAAACAAAGAAACAAACAAGACAAACATATAAACGAAAGAAAAAATTGATGAAAGAAATAAACACAATAAATAAATAAACAAATAAACGGAGTAAGCAAATAAATAAATAAATAAATAAATAAATAAATAAATAAACAAATAGAATAAACAAATAAATAAATAAATAAATAAATAAATAAATAAATAAATAAACCAACAAAAAAACAAATAGAATAAACAAACAAACAAACAAACAAACAAATAAATAAATAAATAAATAAATAAATAAATAAACAAACGAATAAAATAAACAAATAACAGATAAACAAACAAAACAAAAAAATAAATAGTCAAATAAACAAACAACTAAGCAAATATAATAAATAAATAAATAAAATAAACAACAAATAAATAAATAAATAAATAAATAAACAATTAAACAATTAAATAAATTATAAATACCTGCAGAGGAACTGCAATCGGCGAATTTTGTTTTTGTTTTAAAATTTCGGTTAAAGCCGCGCCTCGCACCAACAACTGCCGGGTTGAAGCATCTAAGTCAGACCTAAAAAATAAATAAATATAAATAAATAAATATAAATAAATAAATAAATAAATAAATAGATATAAATAAATAAAGAAGAGGTAAACCTATATACATAGATATATAATATGTATATACATTATATATATATATATATATATATGAATATGCATATAGATAAAATCAACAACTAGCGGGTCGAAGCGTCAGACCTAAGAAACAAATATAAATATAAATAAATATTTAAATAAATAAATATAAACAACTTAACAAATAAATAAATAGATAAAAGAAGAATAGATAGACTTGTAGAATATATATATATATATATATGACAATACATAATATCAACAACTGGCGGGTTGAAGCGTCTAAGTCAGACCTACAAAT